TATATATATATATATCTCAAACATCATTATGTCATCTTAGCAAGATTTGATACAAGGTCAATGGAAAACAAAGATAAACACAAGTGATATCTAAGAATGACTGTTGTTAGCAAATCTTGTTCTGACTTTAATCATTCTATCTGCAGATGAACAGCATGTCATGAAAACCTAGGTCATTAAAGGATGTCATGAATTACTTGCTTAAACATAAAAGTATTAGTTCCATTACACCAGTAAAACAGCTAAGATTAAAATAGCAAAACTGTAGCTAAATGATAAAATTTGCATAGGGTTGCCAACTGTCCCGTATTAGCCAGGATGTCCCGTTTTTTTCTGCCTAATTGAAGTGTCCTGTACGGGACAAGATTAAATCATGTTTGTGGGGATTCCAACCTAAATGTTGGGGAAATAAGAAATATTGTGTGGTGACATCATAATTGACATATTATGTCATTAAGCCCCACCCCGGAGAAACTGTTCCGTATTTCGGAGGGACTGAGTTGGCATCTGTAGCTAAAAACTACAATTAGCTAAACCATAGTTAAAAAATAAAAATGTCCTAAATGGTAGTTAACAGCTTAAAGTGGCAGAACAGTTGCTAAAAGCTAATTTTAGCTCAACTGTGTCTAAATGCTAAAATTACAAAACAGTTACTTAAAGCTAAAATTAGCTAAACTGCAGCTAAATGTTTAAATTACCAAACCTTGTAAGAAAAAGTAAAAAATTGCGAAACATAGGTAAAAACTACAATTAGCTAAACTATAGCTAAATGTTAAAATGTCCTACATGGTAGTTAATTGTTTAAATTAGCAGAACAGTAGCTAAAAGCAAATTTTAGCTAAACTGTGTCTGAATGCTAAAATTGCAAAATTGTTACTTAAAGCTAAAATCAACAAAAGCGCAGCTAAATGGTAAAATTACCAAACCTTGTAAGAAAAAGTAAAAAATAGCACAAACGTAGGTAAAAACTACAATTAGGTAAACTGTAGCTAAATGCAAAAAAATGTCCTGTTTAAATTGGCAGAACAGTAGCTAAAAGCAAAATCTTGCTAAACTGTACCTGCTAAAATTAGAAACAGTTACTTAAAGTTAAAATTAGMAAATCTGTGGCTAAACACTTAAAAAAAAATCCAAAATGCTGAACAACTAAACCTGGAAGAACAGTAGCTAAAAGGTAAAGGTAGCAGAAGAAGAATAAAACAGAGAAATTATGCTGAATCAGATTTCTTAATGTGTTTGAAGTGACTGACAAAGTGTAAATGCTGATGCTTTTACACAATAATCTTCTCCTTGAGCTCATAACCTAATATAAAGTTAATGTATTCTGTATTATAGAAATCAGGTATTTTTGTGAAATCTYGGGGAGGGGAAACTGTGATCTTCTGTTACAGAAAAACCATCAACCCGTACTTTGAGTCAGTTATCTTGACAGCTGACTTATTACTGTGAGACTTCTCCTGACTGCAGGGCCTGAATCAGCTCTCTGATACAAAGCTTCATCCCCTCATTCATGCTGCTCATATTAAAACTTCTGGTCAGCAGCTTCAAGGCTGTAATGTGGAGTTTCACCTCAGAYCAGATTCTCTTTTTTTAACAACACAGAACATCTGGAGGAAGTTATCAATCAGTCCTTAGTACTAAAACACCATATGTAACGAGTCACAGAAGCACGTTCAAAGACTCATTCCACCAAAACGCACCACAGAGCGCCACAGGAGGTCGTTCCTACCAGTGGCCATCAAACTCTATAACTCCTCCCTAAACGTGAAACTAGATCATCTGTACGTTTACATTTTAATATGTTTACTGTATTTTACCCATGACACTCACCAAAAGTGTAATATACAAAACATACAGTAATCTCTGTACACTTTTTCTTAATTTTTCTATTATTTTTATTGTACATTGTTTATGTGTACATACAGTGGGGAAAATAAGTATTTAGTCAGTCACCAATTGTGCAAGTTCTCCCACTTAAAAAGATGAGACAGGCCTGTAATTGACATCATAGGTAGACCTCAACTATGAGAGACAAAATGTGAAAAAAAAA